GGAAGAAAAATATAGGAAAATGAAGCCCCAAGGCAGTCTAAATAGTCCAGATGAGTATTATGTAGATAATGTTCACAGAGTAAGAAGGGTCATCTTGCATTGCCTGAATTTAAAACTACCCTCTCACAAAAAAGATCGGCATTTTACTGTGTTTCTGTGCGTAAGTTCCATTTGCTCCTAGACTGTGCTAATAAAGAGCAGAAAGATTTTCTTCAATTTTAAATTTATTTAAGGAGAGTCTCACGTGCAAAACAAAACTTAGCAAATAATCAAAATTTTATTCTTTGTTGCTTTTGATTTCAAGAGTCATTAACTGCAGAAGTATCCAACAAAACCACATAAAGACAGACAAGAAAATGAGTACATATCACCATTCTTGGATGGAATAAGCAGTTTGAAATTTCTAAATGATTGACATTATTTTGCTGTCCTCTTCACTGAAAGAAAAAACAAAGGAGACTGAAGTTTTGAGAGACTCTCTTGAGCTGAGTTAGAAAAATTGGTGCACATTGTGCCTTTGTGTGAAAAGCATCTCTGCCACATGAATCAGGTCAGTAATTGAATTTCTCTGTTCCGGTGATGAGACACAAGTGGCATGAGTGGCATTTTCTTTGTAAGACTCCTGAACAGTATGAAACTCTATGACCAAAAAGTATGAGATGCAGACGATAAAAATAATGCAGAGATATTTTATCTAAGACTGTGCTCATCTTCCTAATACCTCATACCTTTCACTTCCTTGTGAGCTTATACTTTGATTTTCAAAACATATTTAAATGACTTTGACACTGAGATAATTTCCTCATATGAAGGAAATTTTATGCCTAGCACAAGCAGAAGTTGATACTTAAAGTATCTAAATGAGGCTGTAACAACAAACCATTAGTGTTAGGTCTGATGAGTTATTACAATGCATAGATCAGTCAACAAAAAGGTAATTGGTTAAAATAATTTCTTTACTGTCTCATGGTTTTTAACTTCCATTTAGAATGGCTGTGCCCTTTGCACATTCTGAAAATAAAGTAAAATATACTTGAGAAAACCCTGTAAGTCTTAGGACCAAATATAATATCATATTCATTAGATATCTGCAAGAACTTGGTTTCTCGATTTTCTAGATAGGCGTCCATCCTTATGGCCTGAGAGGAAATAGCTCTATACCGTTTGCTGAAAGTTTGCCTCTGCCTAGTTGCCCAGGGTGTCTGATGGCAGGGTGGCAAGCTGCCACATGAAACATCTTGAAAACATTACAGTTAGATAGATTTTCTCAGGAGAATGAATTCCAAGTGGTTCAATTGAAAGATGAAAATGTGAATGTCCAGATCTCATGCATGGCAGAGCCAAGAGAGCTACACTACTGAAACCACTAGAATGAGGGTAGACCTTATCATCCCAAGTGAAAGACAGTAAGAACTTTACTTTTCAGCACAATTATGTAAACCGGATGCTTTTAAGCCTTGATTTCCTCTGGATAATCATGGAGCAGCTGTTGCTAAACAAGGTGTCTCATTATAGAAACAGTTTTTTTAAAAACTGTACTAATTATATTTAAGATACATCCCAGAACTCAAGGTTTGTGTTTTAACACTTGAACACTTGAAACCAAGCAAACTGGGATCTGATTACATTAACTGTCACAGGAGTGACCTATTCAAGCTACATTGCTCTGAGCAAACAGCAGATTTTCTCAAAGTAGGTAATTTCTCATTAAGGTTTCAGGACTCAAAAATCTATTTCTGATTTTGGCTGATAAGAATCTAGAATACTTCATCTTTGTGGCACATTGCAAATTTCACCTCCATTGAAAATCTGTGGTAAACCTTTACAGTTAGTTTTACAGGAACCATGGGAGACATGACATAGTCAAAAAATGTTCACATCCTTTTCTTTGGCTTCTGGTAATGAACAGAGAGAACTGAAAACTCAGACATTTCAGAGGATCATGTCATAAAGTCATTACATTGTCAACACATGAGAAAAACTTTAAGAATATGAAAGCCCTTACGCACCAACTTAACACGTCAGACCAGACCAGAAACAGATTTTCAAAGATGCTAATAGTTTCAGGGAGGAGAAAACCCATCTTCCTTCCCATTAATGCTTAATTTTTATACTTTTAAATACAAAAAAAAGTAATAAAGGTCAATCTAGAGAACACATTCAGAGACAAATTATGCTGCTAGTGTTTCAGTCAAGAAGCAATAGGGAAATTCAAGGAAATTACAAAGATACAGTTAAAGGTAAATTTGACCTTGTAAATATAAAAAAAAAAATAGAGCCATTTGCAAAGATATTTTGAACAAATTTATTTTGGTGAAGCTCAATAAAATAAAAACTCCCATAGTATTCAATATACAACACTTATTGTAACAATTGTAAGCAAAAAAAGTACTTTTTGTGTACATTTTTAGGATGATTTCAACAGGTTTTTTTTATTATTTTGATCAATGCTCTAGTGTGACTCTGATCAGACATCTCTCACACTGAAAAATGATATAAGTTATTTTGATTTTGCCTTTTTAATATCTATAAGAGGATCTCATGTTTGCCCAGTCCTCTATGATTTAACATAACCTGACACTTTTTACAGGACTGCATGCTCTGTATCACTGCATAATCTATTACCTGTATAAACACTCAAAATACAGCAAAAAAAAAGAAAATAAAGGATGTGAAAAAACAACCAACTATTTTCTACCACCTAATTGTTCTGAAATATTTAGAAATGCAATTTTCTGAAATGTGTTTTTCGTTATTTGAATAAATTGTGGTTCACTTGCATAAAATATCTTGAAACAAAAAAAAATTTATAAAGATTATTGCAAGTCTTTAGCTTAGTAAGCATATTCAGTAAGAAGAATAAGGAATGAAAGTCAGGTTTCAGAGATCTGTTCTGTATTACAAATGAGCTCTATGAGAAACTGTAAAACCAGTACAATGGCAACAGTGAGGGTTAAGTCAAGTTTATGAATAACTTTTCAATCTAAGTATAGCTTAGATTAGTAAAGAGGAAAAAAAAAAACTCTAAAACCCAAAATATTCTTATGGTTACAATCAGAATTGCAACAATGGTAGCTGATGTAATGTTAGGCCATAAGCACATACACACACAACTCCATCCATAAAAAATCCACCTTAATTATTGGTTTATGAACAGGAAAATTCAGATTAAATTTGTTTATAATATTGAGTAATACTTCTAATACCTACTACAGAAACAGCACATAGAAACACAGGAACCATAATTTTATTAGGATATTTTTCCAAAACATTTTTACTTTCACAATGACTAATCAAGATTAAATAAAAATACAGCTAAAACAATTTCCTAGACCTAAAGAGCTGTCTATGAAAACAGACACAAAGGATACTCAATACATGGTTTTCATTTTGACTGTGGAAAAACAAAGGCCAAAAGGACATAAAAGAACACAAGTTTCAGTTACTCAGCCAAATGCCACATGATGAAGATAAAATGCTTTGTTTAGTCAGGTTTTTGGGTTTGCTTATACAAACTTCAGATACTTCAGATCTGTTTTATACTTTCAACATACTAAAGTTCAAAAGGCTTGCACCAAAAGGTCACATCATAGAAACACAGCAGAGTGTAAATACTTGGTTACTCTGGGTCATGAGAGCTGGTTCTAGAAAACACACCCATACTGCTACATCAGTAGCGCTGCAGACAAGAATACTGCAGGACTAAACTAGCTCTTGCAGAAAGAGCCACAACACCTCCCCATTGGTCTGAGACAATTTGCCATTTGTTGTAGCTAATTCACAACAAGACAGTTGATTGTGCAGTAGTACAAATATTGGAAAAAGTCTCCTAGGTGAAGTAGATTAGTCCTTACAAAACCAGATCTTTTTGGTTTTAGACCTGAGGACGTCTGGCTGTTACTAGATAGTGAAAGAGTTCTGCATAATAGTGGAAAATTTTTGCTTCAGATTTTATGGTCACAAGCAGCAAATCTTTCAGTTATTATCACCCTGATCTTCACCTCTGGGAAGACTATACACTAAATTTCCCTCACTTTCTCCAAAAAGAAAGGAGAGGGTAAATATACTCAGCAGTGTTTAGGTGCAGCTCTCCCAAACAAATGCTGGAAACTGCCCCTCTAAAGACTTAAAGGACTCTGGACATAAATTAAGAAATACAGGCTCTGCCTAGCTAGATGCAAACTTGACTGCTTGATAAGAAATGCCAAAAAATATGAAACAAAGAATAGATTTTTTTTATTATTATTAAATATATGCTCAAGTTTCTGTAAGATCTAACCTCCATATAAGAATACAAACTGAACAGTTAGAAAAGAACAAAATTTGTTGTTTACTAGAAGAGTTTGCCGTACTGGTCAAAAGTAAGATAAAACTTGAAGTGAGATTTTTTTTTCCTGTGTTTGTTTATATGATGAAGTTCATGTATTTTAAGGAATATCAACCCCTCATTAGATGCAGCAGAGTATGAATTCTGCTGAGGAAATCTGAGTTCTGTTTAATTCCTTTTATCAACCTGTTGTCTCACCCAGGTGGTGATTTGTAGCAAAACCAATAGAAAATTGTAAATATTTTATATGTAGACTATAAAAACACTGTGAGATTATCTTGGGCATTTAGACTGTAGACTCACAAGATAAAACCACCAACATTCAGAGGGAAAAAAATTGAAAGATATCAGTTTTTAACTGGTATGAAATGGAAGTCAGGTAACTCTTAAAAAAAGGTTTCTCTGTTAGGTGAAAACCTAACAGAGCCATCATGTTAGCTTTAAAGTCATCCAGTTTCAGCAAACACCTTTGATCTATTTCAGTGTTCTGTTACTAATCTACTGGTGATGAAGAAATATGCGAAATACAGAAATGACAATAAACAACAGAACCTTGTCATACCTCTACACAGACACACTACAGACTACAGGTCATGGGAAAAGTTGATTCTCAGTCTCATAATACACAAAATAATGAATTCCAAGGGAAAAAAACCTAATGCTTTCTGCTTACCTGATATGGAACAATACTTCCATGAGCAGTACCCCAGCGTTTTCCTTCAATTTTGCAATTAAGATAATTAGCTGCTACATGAGTGAGACATGCAACCTGAAAATGGAAAAAAAGTGTAGCATTCAGGAAAGCTGAAACTTCATTGACAATTTCTCTGAGATTTCTTTCTACATGCTTTAGATACATAAGTTAACATATTTATGTCATAAAAATATCCTTTAGACATTATATATTTTGTATACTTTTTTACTATGAGAAAAACTCAGGCTACAGCTATATCACAGAAGTGCTTGTTTAAGAACAACTCCATAAACTCAAAAATGAATAAGTTCCCTATAACACCAGTAATGCTGGACACATGTAGCATTAAACTACCCTGAGAGATAAGAGAGTGTTACCCTAAATATTTTGCAGAATAGTCAGCTGCTGCAGTGTCTTGTCTGAAGTCTAGTGGGAAGCATGATGGATTTGTGGGATAGAACTCACCATTTCCTGAACCTCAATCCCATGCTTAAATCACAAAGACCTTTTCCTCAGTTACAAGATTATCTTTTCGTTTTCTCCTATACTTCTCATTTTACATGTCCAAGCTATGGAAAATATTTCTGAATTCTTCAGCTCCCGACATGTTCTGTAATATTAATTAAGTCATGGGCCTTGATAAATCATCTGTCATTAGAAGATAAGGAGAGATTTAGCAAGTTGTTAGTCAGACATAACTGGAAAAATATTGTCTTTGAAGAAAATACAGCATAGTAACTTAGGAATCAGAATGTGAGAGTATAAATATATATATATATATTGTAAGTATGATTATATCTTAGGAAAAAGAAATGAAAATTTGTGATGCAGTAATGCATGAAAATCAGTGGTTCTGTTATAATCCACAGCAGATTCCTTCTTCTTTATTCTTGGAGGGAATACAGTGTGTAATGATATCTGATGCCAAGTAACACAATTAAGAATTCCAGTTACCATGGAAGGTTATCACTCATTCATCAGATATAATGCATTTTTTTTATTCTGTTAACTAGCTGTACTAGTAAGTGCAAGTGCTTGCCTCAACAGTGGACCATGTGAACAACTTTTTTCCAAAAATATTATTTTCTCCATATTTCTCCCATTAGATGAAAGAAATTTGCTTTGATGATCAAACAGTTTATACCTATTAATCAGTCTAGTCTACAACAAAACATGCAATTAATTCAGAGTTCACCATTCATATTCCAATATGTTAATTATATCAGAATTGCCAGGAATCAAAAGCCATTTCATTTTCTTGTTCTTTCTCCATATATTCTGAAAAGAAAATGTGAATGTGTCACATTTAAAGAAAATATTTAACTGTAAATCATGCATGCAGCAATTTAGTACAGCAGAAAAACTAAGAAAATATAAATAAGTGTCTAACTACTGACAAAAATTGTATTTGCATATACTAACTAGAAACACTAACTAGAAATAGTTCTTTATTCCTGAGTACTGTTGGAAAATATTTTGTAGCTGGGTTTCAGGTCCAGTTCTTTATAGCCCAGTGTCACTTCATTTGGCTAAAATGTTGAATCATGTCTGCTCTTTGGTCCCCAGGAAAATCTCAGTAGTTAAGGAAATGGAACTGGACGTATCTAGAAATAATTCTTTTCCTAGTCTGCAACTTTTCTCAGCAATATAGAATGAAACACCATGATTATAGAGAGAGTTAATGAGTTACAAGGGTGTGTCATTTATTAGTAACACACAGCCTTGACCCATCATTCCTGCAATTTTTCACTTTGGGGTCATACTCCATAGTGATACTTTCTCTACCACAGCAAATGGCTCTGCAGTGATGATGGAATATTATTCATTAGATATTCTTCTGTATTTGTATGCAACACTATATAGCTGACACAGTACACACAAATTTCACTGACAGGTGAGATGCATCCATTACAACCAGCTTTTACTTCTAAAGACCAGGAATATGCATTTAACTTTCCACATTTTCCATACAGGAAATGCCATATCAAACTTAACTCTGGGAAGGAGATAGTGAATTTAAACCTAGTGAAACAGAAATCCCAAAATATTGATATTGAATGTAATTGAGGCAAGATTTCATGCTATCCATTTTTTCCTACATTCTATGCTATAGAATTGGGAATTGGAGCTTCATTAACAGAATTCTTCACGAAAAGACTTTAATCCCTAAAAATATACCTTCTTAACACGGTGTTGCAAATTGCTTCAGCTTCCTTGATGAGATGAATGTAATATTTTCAGTAATGGAAAAAAAACCCACACATCTAGATTTCTCCAAAGCATTTGTTCAGAGTACACTAAGAAAAAAGGGATTAAAACTTAATGCTCACTAGACATTGACATTTGACCTCTAAAGCACCTGCTTCACACTTGTTTCAGTAGCAAGAGACCAAAAATCCAGGGAAGTCAGAGCTTAGTAAAGATGGCGATGTTGGAACTAACAGTTGCTCAGACTATATCCAGGTCTCAGTTCAACATGGTACTTAATATAAAGAATAATTCCACTTCAGTCAATGTACTGACCACTTGCTTGAATATATATGCCTATGTAGACTATAAAACTGGTTTGCTTATTTTCATTTTTAAAATAAATCATGAAGGAATAAAGCTTTTGGCTTCCTCTGACTTCTTTCTCTGATTTGAGTACCTTATTCACAGTCAAATTAGCCAGACAAAACTAATTATTAGCAGTAGTCATAGTATCATCACCAAACAAATAAGCTTATATAGACCAAAATAAACTAAATATATCAGTGTTTTGTGATTTATGTGAAAATACACCATTGAGTGAACTCTGTAGCCTTTTGCCACATTCATAATAGCTTTCTGACAAATTCAACAAACTTAAAGACAATTCTATTTCTACTGTCCCATGAAACTTTCCCCTGCCATGCCTTTCCCTTTCCTCTCTTCCTGGCTCAGTTCATTACTTTTAGTCTTTCCAAAGATTTAGTCCCACTAAAAAGGCACTGTCCAAAAAAATCTTTCAGCATATACAATTTATGTAATTGATAAAGAACACAAAGAATTTCTCTACCTATATCTTACAACTGTTAAGAAAACTGCTGAACTACAAGCGTAAAAAAGATATCCCAAATGAACATTTTCATAGACATTATATCCTTTAGAATAAATGTTTGTAACAGTGTAAGCCTATTTGTCCAAACTCCCCTGTAATTCAAGACTCAGGACCTCACTGATAGAGACACTTCTTGAAGCAGAAACATCTATAATACAATCAATCTCTCAAACTGGAGTTCGGGTACATCTGTATGACATATTCAGCTAAGTATTTTTTAAATCTATACTTAAAACTCCTTTCCTGAAACCTTATAGACCCATTTCTTTTCTCCTTTAATTAAGAAATAATCCTCAAAAGTAACCTTTGAACTTAGAACATTAAAGCAGATGTAATGTAATGATACAGACATCTCTGTATTCATTTGCTTGTAGAGACAGATCTATGCACTGTAAATATGCATTATCAAATATCTACAGATAAGCGTTTCTTTATTTCACATCAGTAAAGGGAACACATATTTCAACATTCCTTTCTAATGTTACTGTTGATGGCCAAATCCCATATTTGTGTAACAGACTTACTTAAATCAGAACAAAAAGAGAGCTGCATTAAGGTCTGAAAAGTTATGCTCAGATTATGATGAAATCAGACAGATGGGAAACAAGATATTAAAAGCCACAAGGTCAGCAGACAAAGAAAAGAGACAGAATTTCAAAAGATTTTTTTCAAGATAGCACATCAAACATCATTTATTACAATGAGTTTGTTGAGTCAATCAATCATTTACATGCAATTTCAACAAGTGTATATGAATAACAAAAGAAGACAGGTAACTGGAAAAAAATAACATTTTAATTATATTCTTTACTTTCTTCTCCCTCCAATTTTGTGTCTGCTGTCTTGCCACATATCTTAACAATGCTTTGACTTGAAGCCAAGTTAATTTATTTCTGTCTCATTCTTTGTTTGCTCTTTCTTAAAGCAAGCATGTGGACTTATTAACTTTGAGACTCCAGCATTTTACACTGACATAGGTAACTTATTTTATGCTATGCTACAGAAGTAGTAACAAAATTATTAATTTACAGTTTTGTAGGAAAAAAAATCATTCTAGACAATTCCATGGCCTTCTGTTGCACAGAGACCAATAATCTTCCAATTACACCTTTTCCATAGTTCTGGTGACATATTTAAAAAATCTTTACATGAGAAAAATGCGAACATAAGACCACAATCTACATTTGGTGCACACTATAAAAGGTCTCTTAAAATCACTGATCCTATGCTAGTATTTACCTAATTACTGGTTTGTGTTTTCCCTAATAAGTATTTTGACACTGGTAACATTTAAATTTGACTCATTTTGCTTTTGTAGTTATTCCCTATTGTCCTTATAGAAGCTGCTTCCATGTACATGCACATTAAGTGACTCTCAGCTCATGCTCCTTGCGTCATTTTTTCATTATCCAAAAACCCCAAAACCCCACATCAAAACCCAACACCTCTATTTCTACCAGGCAACCCCCAGGCTTCCAACTAATCATACAATTCTTAAGCATCAACCCAACTGTTTCAGGATACCACAATGAATGGTAGTGTTCTATCAGTTTTTACGCAGGAAATTTAATTTCAAACTCCTGCAAGAATTAACTGGGCAGCAGAAACCACAGCCTTGTGCAGAGGTAAAAGAGCTGCCACAATTCAAGCCAGCCCATCATGGAGAGGTCCAGCAGGAAACCACAGCATTCCCAGGTGCTATCAACAAACATCACCTTACATTCGGGCTTTTAAGGGCTGCCCATCTAGCCCGAAGTTGAGAGATCTGCAGAAGCTAAAAATCAGTTCAAGAGTGGCATACACTTTTAGGCAGGGCAGGCATTCCCATCTGCAAGTACACACCAAAGCCACTGCACACAAAGGAGCAAGATTCTACTGCTTCGTCTGTGGTGTCCCTGCATCAAAACAGCAGGTCTGGCCTGCAAAAGTTAACTAAAAAAAGTAAAACTACTATCATGTAGGCCAAGGCTTAATACTATTAAAGAGAATTTTTGAA